ATACATCGAGATATTAAAGGAGGCAATATTTTGGGTAAATTTTCAAAAAATTGCATGTCAAAAAATTTTTTGAATTAGAAATTTGCTAAGAATTTATTATTTATTTAATAACCGCTTGGTAAAAGTGGATAATAAAGGAAGAATAAAAATATCAGATTTTGGAATATCCAAAAAAGTAGAAGACCGTAAGTGAAAATTTTGATGATTTTGGTTTTGTATAATTCTAAAATTTTATATTTATTTATATTTATTTATATTTATTTATATTCATTTATATTTATTAAACAGAGATTAGGGCATCAATTGTGGTGCGACCATCGTTGCAAGGATCCATTTTTTGGATGGCACCAGAAGTTGTAAAACAGACAGCTTACACAAGTAAAGCTGATATATGGAGCTTAGGATGTCTGATTGTTGAAATGTTTACAGGAACTCATCCATTCCCAGAGTATAATCAAATGCAAGCAATGTTTAAGGTTAGTATTATATAAAATAATACAAATTTAAGATAAAATTTATATCTAACTTTATTAAATATATAGATTGGTACGGAATCATGTGCACCAGAAATTCCAAAAAATGTATCTGATGATGCAAAAGATTTCTTGAAAAAGACATTTGAACCGTATGTTATTTAATAGGTTTTCATTAATCAATTAATTAATATTTTATATTTATCATTTATATCATTGTCTTTTTTTAATAGGAATCACAATGAGCGACCAACAGCAAAAGAACTTTCAGCCCATCCGTTTACAAAAAATTCGATCTAGTAATACCACAATGTAGTTTCCTTAATAACTCGATAAAATATATATAATTTATTTTCCTTAAATCTTTACTAGATTCCTTTACTAGATAATTGTTTGATAAAAACCATTCTTTTATATTTGAAGTTCATAGATCCTATGTGTGTCATACTAGAAAACATAAAATAATAGTAATAATAATATAGTAATTGTAATAATTACCGTGTATGTTACCTGTGTTATTTTTTTTAGAATTCTAAATAAACTTGTAGTCATTTATTATTCAATGACCTAATTTTAACTAAAGTAAATATTACGAAAACATTCCAAATGATTTATTCAAATATTCTTAGTCTTAATGGTGACTTTTAATGCCAA